ATGGCACCAAGTCAGTCATCCCCGTGAAAATCACGGAGCCATCCAGGTGAACAGAAGTCCCTCTTGACGAGGAGCTCAACGACGAGGCCTTACGATAAGAGCTCGACTTAGTCGAGGAGATCCGATTGGGAGTAGCTCTCTGCGAAGCCATGCTGAAACAATAGATAGCCCTTCGCTATGACAATAAACTCATCAAACATGAAATCCATGTCGACAACCTAGTCTTGCAGAGAAATCAGAAAGATTCCCGCGAGGGGGAAGTTGGCCGCAAATTGGGAAAGACTGTATCACGTCCACGCAGCTACGAGCATTGGAGCATATTACCTCGAACACCTAACTATGGAACCATTACTTCGACCATAGAACTCTTCAAAGTTGAAATAATATTACAGTTAAGTCCTTGTCAAGCGACATACATTATAGTTGATTGATTCTCTCTAGCGAACGACAGGACACGCTTGACCATGGAAGCATGTCGAGGTACAAACATAGCCTCCAAACTAGCGAAAGGAGATTTTTTTCATTCCTCGAGCAGAACCTTAGCCCGATAGGGACACCTCGATCGAGCTCCATTGTCGAAGTACCCAACTGGAAGAACACCCAGCTCGTGATGGGAAGTTCATGCCATGAAGTCAAGATTCTGACCGTAATCTTTAATTCGTCCCACGGATCCCTAAACCGCCTCCTCGACACATCCTAACGTGTGTCGACCACAACCAAGGTTGGGCACAAATCCCCAATCATGGAAGTACCAACTTCCATGAAATAAACAAGTCAAACACAACGACAAGCAGTATTTAACGAACATCAAAAAGTGCATAAAGGAAAAATAAAAGCATTTATAAATTCCGACCACGAAAGCCGACGTTGTTCAAATAATTACAAAATATATAGGCACGCAGGCCACAAATCCAAACTGAAACAAAACCGGGCACGCAGATTCTGAGACATCAGATTTCACCCTCCCCGTCACTATGCTCCTCAGGACTATCATCGGGAGGATAAAACATTTTCCCATCGACCACCTGATTAAACGGCATTGCACCTTCAACCACTAACTCGACCCTCGAGTTCAATATCTTGAGTTTCTCCATGGATGTGTTAAAACCTTAATCAAGGGTATCCACGACATCTTGTTCGAGCACGTGGATGCGCCCGATTAGCTCTCCCCTGGTCGTCATGGATTTCTCCGCCTCAATATCTTCATCAGTAGGTGTCGAGATCCCTTCCAGCTCTTTTATTCTAGCGATCAGCCGCTCATTCTCTTTGGCCGCAGCATCAAGCTGAGGCCGTAACTCATTCAGGTCCTTGAAAAGCTGGACCTGTGACTCATACTTCACCCTGTGGTTGTGTATGTAGTTCTTCAGCTTCGTATTTTTTCCTTTCAGCTTCTCAATCTTGGCGAAAGCTTTGTTAAAGGTGACTTGAGAGCCCACGGATTCATCATTCAGCTTCAACACCGTCTCTAGGATCCTCATCACGGTGGCCACATCGTCCGCCAGGTTCTTCCGACGGGTATCTTTATCCTTGGACAAGATCGCTCCCCACTCATCCTCGTGGAGTCCTAGAGAACTCTCCCCGCTGAAGATGGTCTGATTGAGATAGAAAGGAGGCTCCCTCGGCTCCCCCATCACCTTCGGGCACCACCGCTTGGGCTCTTCCACGCGCTTTCTCTTTGCGTGTTGTTCAGGAGGAGGAGCATGAGTCTTTGAGGAGGGGGAACCACTAGCTCGGCCAGGAGCTTTGGCCTGCTGCTGAAGTTGGGAAGCCCAAATCTTGGGCTCCAAGGTGGAGGTATTCTTGGGCCTCAACTTGAGTAAGCGCTCGGAGAGGGACACCATCCGATCTGCAACCAAAAAGAAAAATGTTAGTCACAAGGAAAACATACAAAGAGAAATTCACGGGCATGTCCCCTACCTAAAAGTCGCAGAGCTTCCTCATCTAAAGAACACTCGAGCAGCGCCTTTGTATTTATTAGTCTATTAACAAGGAGATACTCCCCATTATCTTCGAATAGGAAGTTATTGTCCATGTCCATGCACGTCGCCGGCGTGAAACTCCTGACATAGGCCACCAACTTCTCATAGGAAAGTTGTCCTCGTCATCTAAATCCTCTAGTTTCACTGCATAATACTCGGGCTTTTGCTCAAAATGTTTCCACTGCCATTCGAGGGCAAATCTAGCATTCAATTGAACTATTGTCTGACCTTCTCGGACCACCTCCGAGCATTCATATAATAAGGTCACATCCGCGTCTGTAAGAGGGTTCACGACAAAGTACCTCTCTTTAAAATAACGGATGGATTCGAGATACGGCCGGAAGAGTTTCCCGAACTTCTTAAAGGACACTCAGGTTTGTCCCCTTCCGATAGACTGCCTTTGCAGATGGAATATACGGAAGAAGAGGCGCAACGTGGCACCTATCAGAAAATATTGACATACGAGCTTGAAGGAACGCATGAAAGTAAGCACATTTGGGTGAAGCTGGGAGAGCGCTAATTGTAGCCATTGAAAGACCCCGAACTAGAAACCGTTGAAGGAAAAATGCATTCCTGCTTCCTTGAAAGCAAATTCATACATGGGAAAGCGTTTGACCAGATATGCCGAGCATATTCTTCTGTTTCTATGAGGGATCTGCATGACCCAATTGACCGGGGCACCCTGTGCTCGAACCTCCAGGCAGTTAAATGCATCAGTAGTATCCTGAGAGAATATCGAATTTTTGTTCCTAGGTTCAGGCGCGACCCAGGCCAAAGGGTCTTCCTCGAAAACATTGTCGTCCACATGGGTGGCGAGCATAATGTCATCCTCGATTTGGTGGGCCATTGTACCTGAAAGGCAGGGGAAAACAGTGAATTTAACATCATAAAATTCACCCTTCCACCGCAAATCAAGTGAAAGGGTGATGATTGCGTCGAGGAATGGACCTCGACCCAAGCCTTCGCCGGCCAACTTAAGAACGAACCATGCCCTGTGCAGGGACGTTTGGGTGGCCCAAAAACCACTCCGCTACTCGGGGAGGACGACCCCGACACACATGAAGTTGGACGTACGAACATTCGCATGTGGCCATGAACTTTAATGAACACCCATGAAGATTCATGACTGAACTCACGAACATTCATCTAGAAGTTCACCCGTTCATAACAAAAACTAAGTATTCAATTTAAAAATCTGGGAAAAAACATCATCAAGAGGATATGACTTGCTTGGAAAGATCTTGGGTGAAGTGTTGGGGTGGCGCTGAAACAAAGGAGATCCACGAGTAGAGGAGAGAGGATGGAGAGGAAAACGTGAAAATGATAAATGAGCTCAATGATTCCACTATTTATAGCTGGTTCACACCCCACGAGGCAGCATACGAAAATCCATCATTACTTTGGGCTTTTGAACTCTCCTATAAAAAAATGGCACCCCAAAACAGCTGACACGTAGTGTGACAAGCAGCTACATGCCCACTCTTGGAGACGAATTTGTCCCCGACTCATCTATGGAACGTTATATACGGGCCAATGAGCGACGTTTCGGTCTTAGGGATGGGAACCGAACAACCCTCAACACAGCCATGACTACGAGCAAATCTATATTGTTCCCCTAAAGGCGACGTAAATGCTCGACGTCAGGGCATATCCTCATAGACGAGCACGCGAAAAGAAATTTTGGGGAATCCCTCGCTTCACATGGACATATGTGCCTGACGGACCCAAAACCAACAACATCAGAGTGAAAATCGGTCGAGGGACCACCCACTGGCCTAGTCGATCATGCCACACACATGTTTTTTGTATCCTCGACATCAACCCACAGATCATCCCCAGCGGAGTTGGGCAATTTCCCATTGCGGGCAGCGTTTCCTTGACAGTGGAGTTGAACTTAAGTCACCACCCTTTCATCTACGAGCAATGACTTGGGAGACTCTTGTTCTGGACTGGACCAACACTTACCCCACCGTTGGAGAGACCCAGTCCAGTGCCTCTATTAAAGGCCCAAAGCTATAACCCAACATAATGACTGTTGGGCATTTCCCCACGTGTCCGCTAGGAATACGTTGCCCACGTGTCCAAACTGTCATCATACTGCCCTTCAGGAATAACAGGTCAAGTACCTACTTTCTGGGGCAGTTGACCAGGGAGGGGGGCACGTGTTGGACCCCATATACAAACTCTAGCAGTCTTCCTTGTTGGGCCTCGTCATGACCCATCATTGAAGACCTTAACGCAGCACTAGAGACTATAAATATCCTCTCATTTCAGGAAGAGTGCTAGCAAGTATGAGAGTATATAATTTATTGGAAAAAAACTAATTTTTCTATTTAAAAAAAAATAGTATATTTCATTTTTTGTAATATTTCATTTATAATTCTATTTTTAAAAAATTAATAATATTTTTTATATATAACTATTATTTACATCTTAATGTTTTTTTGTTTATATAATATTTTGTTTTTCATTAGGATAAAAATATATATACTATTTTTTGTTTAGTAAAGTGTGTAAAGAAAACCAACAAAAGAATTGATAGAGTACAACCCCTTAAGTAAGTTTTGTAGTAAGGGGTTGGATTTCTTACTCTTACGCATATGAAAAATCCAGTTGTTAGTGGATAACTCACCTTACATCTTACACATATATAAACACATTTCCTATCATTATTACTAATAAATAAAAAAGTATAAAATGATTAAACGGTAATAAAGAAAAAAACGAGAAGAAAAAAATGGAAAATTTGATCTTCCCCATATCTTATCTCATAGTCAAACACTGAAGACAAGTTCCCGCCAAAATATGGAATGAACGATAAAGTTTGTTAGATTCAGTTACGTTTCTGTTAAGATTAATCAGTTTTCAGTTTTCAGTTAGTTGAATCCATTCCCTTAAATACATCATAAACCTTCATTCATCCAATCACATTCACAATTTTCCATAACTCAAATCATCACACACACACTCTCTCTCTCTCTCTCTCTGAATTTTCCTTCTCTCAAACCTTTCCCTCTCAAGATGCATCCATGGATTCAAACCCTGATCGATATATGCAGGGGGAAGTACAAGGGAGATATCAAGGCTTTCAACCAAGATCCTCTCGGAAAATCGATCAATCTCGAAAAGCATTGCTTCGGAGAATTTTCCATGGCCAATGTTCAAGCCAATGACATCATGGAAGATCAAAGCCAGGTTGAAGTTGCCTCCAACAACGCTCTCTTTCTTGGCGTTTACGATGGCCACGGTGGCAACCGCGCTTCTTACTTCATCTCTCGACATCTCTTCAAGAACCTCATAAGTAACTTTCTTTTCTTTCTTTAATTTGAAACTTGTTATCTTTCTTTAATTTAATCCACTTTGAACTTTTTTTTTGTCTTTGTTATAGGGATTGCTCAGGAGAATGGAAATACCATAACCGAAGATACTCTAAGAACCGCTGTTTCTGATACTGAAAAAGAATTTATGCATTATGTCAGCACGGATTTTGTCGCAATACCTGATCTAGGAAAAGCTGGTGCATGCTGTCTTGCTGGAGTTATATGGAAAAAGACTCTATACATCGCGAATCTTGGAGATTCGCGCGCTATAATTGCTTCTATGGTTAATGGAAAACCTGTTGTTCAACAGTTGACAAGAGATCATAACTGTGGAGATGTAGTTATCAGAGAAGAACTCCAGGAAATGCATCCAAATGATCCCGAGATTGTGATGCATAGGAATGGAGCGTGGCGCGTTAAAGGCATCATCATGGTTTTTTTTGTTTCTTTTTAATCAGTTTTATAGTTTGATTTGATACTGGTTTATGAATTGTTATAATGTGTTCTTGTATTTTTTTTTTATAGGTTAGTAGGACTATTGGTGATGCATATTTGAAGAGGCCTGATTTTACGTTTACAGCTTCGTTTCCCAAAGATTATCCGAATGTGCCTAAAATTCCTGATAGATGTGTGCTATCAGCAGAACCTGAGATGCATTCTAGAGCTTTAAGAGATAATGATAAGTTTCTTATATTTGCTTCTGATGGACTTTGGGAGCTCATGTCAAATGAACAAGCTGCTCAGATTGTTGCAAGCAATCCAAGAAATGTATGTACATGTATATCTATATCTATGATTTGATCTTTCATAGTTTTTACTTTCGTATTGTTAGAAAATGAAACGTAGCGGTTTGATTCTATATAATGGCTAAACTGTTTTGACTGGTATTTGATATTTTTGTAGGGAATTGCGAAAAGGCTTTTAAGTGTTGCGCTAACAGAAGCTGCTAGTAGAAGGAGAGTTAGCTATAAGAGCATTCAGGCTGCTAATCCGGGACGTGATATTTTGAGCAGGAGGTCATTTCATGACGATATAAGCGTGATTGTTGTGTTCTTAGAGAAAACGTCGTTTCTGAGGAAACGCGCGCCTAATAGGTCCTACAGAGGCTCTAGTCCGACGTCTCAACCATCTGATTTCGCACGGTCTGGATTAACCTCTTTGATTCGGAGTCCATTGAGTCCTAGGCGTCTGAGGAATAGTTTCAGAAAACGGTCAAAATCAGCTGACAGCCCTCGGACTCCTAAGAGTCCTCTAGGTGAAAGTTCTCAGGCTGAGGACACTGAAAGGCTTATTGATCAGAGGCGTCCTCGGACAGCTCGAAGCCGTTTGGAGTCTCTGAAACAGTTTCTCACACTGAGTATCTTTACACGAAACCAAACATAAATATGAATTCTGATTCTGTGCTGTTTTAACTTCCTTCAAGTGTCCGAGATCTGTTAAGTCAATTGGTTGAGTCTTTTTTTTTTACTGCACCAAAATGAATTGTAGAAGTGTCAATTTCATGTTGATATATTGATTTTTCATAGAGCTATAGGAGATAAGAGCTATATGACAGTTGTTTTTCACTCAGTTGTACAAATTTGAATAAGTGTCCACAAGTTTGTGACACAAGGATTATGAATTGGAAGTTAAAACATATTCTGAAATTTTGCTTACTGTTTTTACAGAATTCAATTGTAGTTTAGTTTGAAAATTGTGTTTGAGAGCTATGCCTTGGACAATAAGAAATGAGAGAGTTTGATTGAATAAACGATAATGTGCTAAGATTTTACAAATATAGATCACCTATGGTAGGTGAAATTTATGTAGGAGTGCATCTTTATACAGATTCTGATTTCTGGATCTTTAACTATATTGAATCAAAAGTTGAATGGCTTAGAAATTCAATTTAAGGATTGAGAATGGTTTCAGGTTGATGCCTCGGCATCTATGTTTGCTGTCTTGGTGAGCGATGCATTCATGGTAACGTTGCTCTATGCACCTGATCATTATGCAAATGATTTAAACGTTTATGAATCTTAATATAATATAAGAGCTCAAATGGAAATTATTGTTAGTTCAGGAACTTAATTACAATTTTTATAGTCTGATAATTCCCAAATAGTTAAGGGACTTGTAGAGTAATTGAACATTTTGCAAGTGTAGTGATGTTCTACAGCTAATAAAGAAATTAGGATTAAATAAGAAAACTATGAAAGGAAAAATAAATAAAGTAACATTCTAATTTTTATAAGGACAAATTATGGGTCTTGATAATAATGTGCTGAATGCCACTTAGGAACATACCAAAAATCAATTAACAGCCCATACTTAAAAATTAAGAGTGATGTGTTAATTAACTCTATGGAAAGTCAAATATGCTTTTATGTAACAAATCTTAAGATTATATAACAAATCTTTTTATCAGAAAGATACATCCATCCAAGTTTAAAATGTATTAGGATTTCAAACAATACATTCTTCACACAATAAACCATACACATAAGTCGTTTATAACTAAGATCAAGTTTTCATAACTCATTCGGAAACCATACATCAGTCATTCATAAAATACAATTAACTATACAAATTTTCAAATTGTTTACAAAATACAAATAAAAATACAACTACTACCGTATATATCTGACGTCTTTATTCCCCATGCCTTCAGTATTGTAATGCATATTATGGTTTTGCTAAGATTTCCTGTAGAGTGACCCTTTCAGGAGTTCCTTCCTGAAATTCTCCTCTAGCTATGGCCCCTCTCTCAATAGCTGCAATACGATGACATATCTGTTAATGGTGATAACCTCACCTTGGTGACATAGCAGGGAGAAGAAGATAGAACCAGAAACTGTTTTCATTGTAACAGAAAACAGTTGAGCAAATAACAGAAAATTATTCTTCCTCTTTTCAATTAATTATCAGCATTGTACAATCAGATATATATATATACAAAGGGATAGGATAAAGAATGTGTGGATGTCAGGAAGCTAAAGAAAACACACGTGGCATCCACAGATAGGCTAATATTAGAGTTAGAAATAAAACTGAAACTATCCTATCTATATACATATATTAACAGCCCCCCTCAAGTTGGACGTTGGATATTGCAAAGTCCCAACTTGTCCAATGTAATCTTCAAAGCTGGTGAATGTAGAGGCTTAGTCAACATATCAGCTAGTTGAGCATTGGTTGATATGGGAAGAAGATGAATGAGCTTGGACTGTATTTTCTCGCGCACTACATGACAGTCAAGCTCAATGTGCTTGCTCCTCTCATAGAAGGTTGGATTGTGAGCCAAGTAAATGGTTGATCTACTATCACAAAAGATGGATGAAGGCTGGGAGAAAACAACATGAAGATCACGAAAGAGATAATGCAGCCATTGAATTTCACAGGAAACAGATGCAAGAGCCTGATACTCTGCCTCAGTTGAAGAACGAGACACAGTCTGTTGCTTTTTGGATTTCCAGCATAAAAGAGAGGAGCCAAGCATGACACAATAGCCAGTGATTGATCTTCTAGTATCTGGACATCTGGCCCAGTCTGCATCAACGAAACCAACAAGTTTCAGAGCACTGGATGCAGAGAATAGGATACCTGTAGCAGGAACGGACTTGAGATATCTCAAGACCCGATTAGCAGCTTGTAAGTGAGGCATCCTGGGTTGAGACATGTACTGGCTTAAGTGCTGAACGGCATAGGAAATGTCAGGTCTTGAGTTGGTCAGATAGATCAAACGACCAATTAACCGCCTGTAGACAGTGGGATCCTCCAACATAGGTCCTTCATGAATAGAAAGTTTGACAGTTGGGTCAAAAGGAACAGAGGAGGGTTTTGCAGCGAGAACACCAGCATCCTGAAGAAGTTCCAGGGTATACTTGCGTTGGTTCAAGAAAATGCCATCTGCAGATCGAGCAATCTCAAGACCAAGGAAGAATCTCAACTGACCCAAATCTTTAATCTTAAACTGCTGATCCAAGGACTTCTTGACATGATTAATCTCTGAAATAGAATTCCCTGCTAACACTATATCATCTACATAAACCAATAGTGCAGTGAAATGTTGGGAAGAAGATTTAACATATAAAGAATGGTCAGCTAAAGACTGATTATAACCCAGAGAAATAAGGAAAGCAGATAATTTGGAATACCACTGTCTACTAGCCTGTTTCAAACCATAAAGTGATTTTCTGCAACTTGCATACTTTTGATGGAGAAAGACCAGTAAGACCAGGAGGAAGATTCATGTAAACTTCCTCATGAAGGTCACCATGGAGGAATGCATTGTTCACATCTAACTGTTCCAAATGCCATCCCTTAATAGCTGCAAGTGAAAGTAAAACTCTAACAGTAGTAAGTTTAGCAACAGGGGAAAAGGTATCAAAATAATCCACTCCTTCCATTTGAGTGAAACCCTTTGCTACAAGTCTGGCCTTATATCTCTCAACTGAGCCATCAGCTTTGTGTTTTACTTTGTAAACCCATCTACAACCTATAGGAACCTTGCCAGGAGGAAGATCAACCACAGTCCAAGTTTGATTTTCTGCAAGAGCTTCTAACTCAACATTCATGGCATTAATCCAACAATCATGTTTAATGGCCTGTTTATATGTTTTAGGTTCAGAGATAGCAGATATAGAACAACAAAAATGCTTAAAAGCTGGAGAACACCTGTCATAGGATAAAACAGATGATAGAGGATATAAGGTGGATTGTTGCTTAGGAGATGAAGAAGACAGAGATTGAGGGTTATTCAAAATATGATAGCAATGATAATCTGCCAGGTATCCAGGAGGATGAGTAGACCTGGTGGACTGTCTAAGAGGAGGATGGGGATTGTCTGAGATAGGAAGATGAGTATCAGGGGAAGATCTATCATTAGACAAGGAGTTATCAATTGGTTGTCCAAGAGATAATGAAGGAGAATCAGGTACAGAAGTAAGTGAGGGTGACTCAGAAATGGATATAGGGATAGTACTAGAAACAGGAGTAGCTGGCAGAATAGGAGATGTAGGATCAGTAGCAGAATTAGGACTGCTGACAGAAGGAGGACTGTGTGTACTAGGAAGTTGACAAGGACTAGGAGCAGAAATAGGATCAGAAAAAGAAGTAGTATTGTCTAAAGGATTAGAAATATCAGTGGATACAGGAGACTGATGGACCATAGAATGGTCATCATAAAGTGGTTGATGTTGGGATGTGTGTTTGGAAAGAATTTTGGACTGATGTGGTTGAAAAGGAAAGTTCTGTTCATAGAAAATAACGTTCTTAGATACAAATATATTGTGATGAGTTAGATCATAAAGGATGTAACCTTTGGTGCCATCCTTGAATCCAAGGAAAACAGACTTTCTAGCCCTAGTGTCAAATTTTGTCCTGTGAGAGTGTAAAGTGGCAGCAAAACTCAAACATCCAAAAACTTTTAAATGCACAATAGAAGGTGGCTGCTGAAAAAGAAGTTCATAAGGGCATTTTAATTTCAAAGTAGGAGTAGGCAACCTATTGATGATATGAATAGCATGCTGTATGCAGAAATTCCAGAGATTTAGGGGAATATTGGAATGAAAGAATAGAGTTCTAGCTACATTCAAAATATGTTGATGTTTTCGTTCAACTACTCCGTTTTGTTGGGGTGTTTCCACACATGTTTTCTGATGAATAATGCCCTTAGATGCAAGAAAATCAGTCAATGCTATGAACTCAGTACCATTATCCGACCTTAAGCATTTTAGAGAAGTATGAAATTGGTTTTCTATGTATGCTATGAACTTGATAATGTTTTCTTTGGTTTGATGTTTGCTCTTGAGAAAAACAGTCCAAGTATATCTAGTATAATCATCAACAAGAGTCAAAAAATATTTATGTCCTAACACAGATATAGTAGAAAATGGACCCCAAACATCAGCATGAAGAATTTCAAAAGGAGCATTCGATTTACTATTACTGTGAGGAAAGGGAAGCCTCTTTTGTTTGCCAAAGTGACAAGAGTCACAAGGTATGTCATTATTACATTGTGAAGGTACAAAAGGGAAAACTTTAGAAATATCTTGTAAACCTATATCAGAAACATGGCCTAATCTTAAATGCCACAAATTACAAGGATTTTGAGCAAAAGAATGGAAAGCACGATGGTGAGAAGAAGATTCAAGAACATAAAGCCCTCTTTGAAGTTTAGCTATACCAATCATTGCCCTCGAATGATTCTGCACAATTTTGCAGGAATTATCAGTAAATTGAACAAAACAATCATTACTGTTGACAAGCTTGGCAATAGAAATCAAGTTAACACGAAATTTTGGTATGAACAAGACATTGTGTAAAACTAAAACAGGGGAAATAGTGATGCTGCCAGAAATTGAAGCAGATACTTGGGATCCATCTGGCAAACTAACATGAATGGGAATTATGGATTTGTAAGAAGTAAAAGCTGTAAGATCAAAAGCAATGTGGTCGGTAGCACCAGTATCAAGAATCCACAAATAGATATTATTACCTTGTTCATTGTGAGAGTGAGAGTTCAGAACAAAAGGCGATGTGGTGATGGAATTGACTTGAGAGGTGTGTTTGGATTGCTGAAGTAATGCCAGAATGTTTTGGTATTGCTCTTGAGTAAAACCAAAAGAGGACTTGGATGAGTTCTGCTGAGAAGATTCCAAGGCTGCATCAGCAGAGACATCACTTTGAGTAACTGAGTTGGTGGATTTGCCTTTGCTCTTGAAGCCAGGTGGATACCCATGTTTCTGAAAACAAGTCTCAACTGTGTGATAGTTTCTACCACAGTGTGTACAAATACGACTGTGACCTTTAGCTCCACCATAACTTTGTGTTCTGCCTTTACCATAGTTGTTACCAGTCTTGCTGTTACCATTACCATTGCCATTGTAGGAATTGGTGTGAAAAGCTGCAGATTCTTCAGAACTGTTGGTAGTGGGTGTAGCAGCAGAATTAGAGTTATTCAACTCTCGTTCTTGTTGAATAACCAGCGAAAAGGCTTTGTCAATATCTGGTAAGGGATTCATCATCATGATTTGGGACTTGGAATGAGCAAACTTCTCATTCAAGCCCTTAAGAAACCTAATCACATAATCCTGTTCACGATATTGACGAATTGATGCAAGAGCACCACATGAACAAGGAATAGCACAACAACAAGCAGTAATGGGACGATAGGTTTCAAGCTCAACCCACATTACTTTCATCTGTGTAAAATAATTGGAGACATCAAGAGTACCTTGGCGGAATTTGTACAAATCTTCTTGAATGTCAGAGATTCTGAAAATGTCACCATGAGAGAAGCGAATTTGCAGGTTCTTCCACACGCCAGCTGCAGTATCAATCCAAAGAACGGACTTAGCAATTGATTCAGAAAACGAACGGTGAATCCATGCTAATACCATTGTATTGCAGCGAATCCACGGAGCGTAAAGAGGATCAGAAACGGGAGGTTTCGTGATGGTGCCATCGATGAATCGCTCCTTGTTCTTGGAAATCAACGCGATGTGCATTGATCTTGCCCAGGTATGATAATTCTTGTCATCAAGCAAGGGTGACACAAGAACAAGAGACGGATTTTCATTCGGATGAAGGTAAAAAGGATTCGTGGAATTTGTGGAGAAGTCGCTATAGCTCTGGTAAGCCATCAGAAGGAAAGAAAACGAAAGGTGTAAACGAAGAAGAGGAGTGTGAATCAAAGAAACGAAGAAAACTCAAGGTGAGCAAGAAAAACGGGGAGATTCACAATCGAGGAAGGGTTTGCAACAATGGCTACCAGAGCTTTTTGAGCTCTGATACCATGTTAATGGTGATAACCTCACCTTGGTGACATAGCAGGGAGAAGAAGATAGAACCAGAAACTGTTTTCATTGTAACAGAAAACAGTTGAGCAAATAACAGAAAATTATTCTTCCTCTTTTCAATTAATTATCAGCACTGTACAATCAGATATATATATACAAAGGGATAGGATAAAGAATGTGTGGATGTCAGGAAGCTAAAGAAAACACACGTGGCATCCACAGATAGGCTAATATTAGAGTTAGAAATAAAACCGAAACTATCCTATCTATATACATATATTAACAATATCAGTAATACATCCACGTCATGGTCCACCTTTTCATGTTCCTCTTCTAGTAACTTTTGATGAGTTAGCATAGGGGGATCTCCTTCTAGATTTGGTGTCATATAAGGATGATGTATTCTATAAAACCATTTGATTTAACTGTATACCTTCTCCATGGACGAGGAGATGGTGTAAGTACAAACTTCGTCGTCAAGTATTTTGAATGATGCCAAAATTGGGAAAGCTTTCACGTTTGAGTATTGGATAATATCCTTATGTCTTATGGCATTCCTATGCATTAAAGGTCTTAGAAATCATTAAAAAGCATCTTGAAATTGATCCAAGTCATGAACAATAGTTTTTGCATGATTTTTCACTGCATGTGTCGACACATCCATATTTCTGGTCGACACATGTAACTCATTATTAAAGCCTGTAGTCTCTGTAAGTCTTAGACTGACACATGAATGATTCAAGTCGACACATACTAAAGCTTTTCTGAAATTGCAGAAATTCTTATTTTATGTGTCGACACATCCACTTTTCAGGTCGACACATTTACTATCGTTTTAAGGCATGTAGCTTCTGACTTGTTTCGGTCAACACATGGTTTCTCATAGGTCGACACATACAGTTTAAAATTCACGTATGTATCGACACATACGATACATAGATAGACACATATTGTTATGTTTTGCTAATTTCTTTTAAAAAAATTATTCCGAATTTACCCCTTTTGCCCTAAAAGTTCCAAAATTATAAATACTCTTTCATGCATCATTCATAACTTGTTGAAAACCATAAAATTAACCTATTTCTTTCTTCATCTTCAACCTTCAATCTATGCATACACATTGACATTACATTGTAACGATGTTCTGTTGGGGTGCCATCTAGAGGAGGATTGCTAGCGTCCAATTGTGTATTGGGTGGAGTTTTGTAGGAGTTTTCATCTAGGAAAACCTCGGGTTTGTCCTTGCAGATTATTGATTGATTTGGGGACTTTCGTGCAAGACATTGTCATACCTCAAATTTGTTTGCCCTTTATTCCTACAGTCAAAAATAATTTCAACATTAGTTTTTATAATATTCTTTGGTTCAATTTTACTAACATTTTAACAATAATTTATTTCGCTCATTTAAAAATGTATAATAGTTTATTTCAAATTATTTGTATTTTAAATAGCAAATACTTCTTCACTTTCATATACCTTCAATTGTATTTTTTTTATTTCAAATGAGTAACATAACACAATTGGTAAGGAATAAAACTTTAACATCCACAATTTCATAATCTTAATCTTTCTCTTACTGATGAACAATTTTGCATTTTTCTTACTTACATATTTTATCCACTTCTAATCACCAACTCACTACACAATAACATACTATACGTAGTATTTTACACACTCTTGTTCACAAAAGATCACTAACAATCCACGCACTTGGTGCATACAAGTCATAACTTTGTTTTTAACACCAATCTCCCGTCGCCTGTTATTTCATCCCAACTATTCCAAGTCATAATATTTTTAAACAATTTCTATTCATAACATAAATCATTCACATTGCACGAAACTGTGTCCATATAATCATCATCACCATCATACGAACCCAAAATCAATCCATTTGTAAATATCACAAACATCTAACTCTGTTTTTCAAACAAATCCATTAACACAACACAATTTCAAGCATCATGCGAACAAAACATCACTCAAAACAAAAACAAAAAATACATTTGTCTTGTTGTTATCTTTGATTGTTGTGCAGGGAAACAAGGAAGCAATATCACAATACCAAAATCAAGTTCTTGGGTTCAAGGAAACGAAAAAACAAGAGTAAGGATGAAGAGGAGACAAAGCAGATCTGATGACACACCACCGTTAATCTTTCAATCTCAGCTCTGGTTCAACACCACTTCCAATCTCTTCCCGCCGGTGTTCAGTCGCAACAGCTATAATTCCCTGCCGTCCACCATGAACCAACTGGACTGCAACCCAATCACTCTCCACGACCGCAACTCGCCGCGACCTAACAAATCGACCTCCAAAATCTCCTCCGCGCAAGCCTCTCTCCGATCTCCTCTGTAGATTTCGCTCCCAACTGCCGCAATCTCCGACGAACCCCAGATCACGCTTCCCAAAGTGCACGCCGCAACATCCATCACCACAATCGCCGGAATCTGCTCTCACCTCTGACATACCTCCTCTCATCTTTTCAGTTTGAGAGCACAACCCACAGAGGTACCTTCATTTGGTTTTTCACTTATGTCTGGTTGTTCCATATGTTGTTTCAATTTTGTTTTAAGAAAAAGAAGCGAGAGATGAAATTGGAAAGAAGTAAGCAGATAGAAAAAGTAGAAGAAGAACCGCGAGACATCGAGAAAGAGGAATAGCGATTTGGGGAAGGTGATGAAGAGGAGACAAAGCAGACCCTGGAGCAAAGATATTGTGATAAGTTTCTTGCCAGCACGTTCTGTTATATGTGTAAGTCTTTTATTGTGATAAGTTTCTTCCCAGCACGTTTTATACCTCTAATGGTGCAACTCAATTTTTGATTTATCTTGGAATCTATTAAGCCACATCATCTTGAAGCAATTCATTCAATTTTCACTCCAATGGTGCAACTCTAAAGAACTCAAATTAGGTCTCACATCTTTACTTTATATATTAATATTTTATTCATATTAAATTTTATTTGATTTAAAATAATTATTTAAATTTAAATTAATATAAAATAAATCAAATTAAAATTAAACATAAAATTTAAAATTAAAATTAAAATTAATCTCAAATACATGACATATAATTAAAAACATTAAAAATAAATAACATAACAGAATTACTCAAATTTAATTTTCATCATTCTCATGTCCAAAACATTCTCAAATATGCTCGACTAGATCTCCTTGAAGTTGGCGATGAACTTGTTTTTCACGAAGACTTGCTCTTCTTTGTAGTCTTGTTGCAAGATTCGGATGAGGACCGTTAAATGTTTCAGTTGTTGAGTAGGTGTCATCTACATTATCATAAGAGTAATCAAAATCACCTTCATATGTGTGGCGTTCATCTTCAACAATCATGTTGTGCAATATGATGCAAGCATATATGGTATGCTTGAGGGTTTCCATATGTCAGGCACGTGCTGGGCCACGTATAATTGCAAATCGAGATTGGAGCACTCCAAATGCCCGCTCCACATCCTTTCTAGCTGATTCTTGATGTTGAGCAAATAGTTTTCTCTTTTCTCCCTGCGACATTGAAATAGTCTTGACAAATGTAGCCCACTCAGGATATATACCATCCGCTAAATAATACCCCATATTATATGATGTTCCATTGATTGTATAGTTCATAGTGGGAGCATGTCCTTCCAAAATATCGTTAAACACATTGGATTGGTTTAGCACATTAATGTCATTGTTTGAACCTGAAATACCAAAAAATGCATGCCAAATCCATAAGTCTTGTGATGCCACTGCTTCAAGCATGATTGTGGGCTTACCATGATCGCCTTAGCAAAATTGTCCTTTCCATGCAACAGGACAATTTTGCCATTCCCAGTGCATACAATCAATAGAATCCAACATACCTGGAAAGCCACGTGACTCTCCCATTTGTAAGAGATGTGCAACATCTGTGTTGTTAGGCTTTCTCAAATACTCTGCCCCAAATACAACACTCACGCCCCGAACGAATCTTTCTAAGCACTCAACTGAAGTGCTTTCACCGATTCAAACATATTCGTCCATACTGTCAGCAGGAGACCCTTATGCCAACATACGAATATCAGATGTGAATTTCTACAATGGTGAAAGACCCATTTTACCAGTTGCATCGACCCTCATTCAGAATATTCATCATGATTTTCAAGGGCGGCTACAATTCGAAGAAACACATGCCTATGCATTCTAAACCTTCTTCGGAATTAAACATCTGTGTATACTAGATTTTCCGAGAAGTAGTCATTGAATAAACGATTGTGCACTTCTTCACGATTTCGATCTATCATTGTTCTTCTCTTTCGCCTAGAGGAACTTCCATATTGATGTTCCTTCTCGAGCATTGACTTTAGTAGTTCTTCATCAGTGTTGTCCATAAATTCTTCTTCAATCAAGTCCCAAAAGAGATCATTTGAACTATCTGAATCCATTAAAGTGAGTGAAGAATGAAAGAAGAATGAGAGAAAAAAGAGAGAAGAATGAGAGAAGATTGAGAGAAGAATGAGAAAATAATGAGAAGAGTGGTCATTTATATAGTGATATATGAATAATGGCTAGTTTGAATAACGGCTAGTTTGAATAACAACATAATATTTATTATAAATTAAATTGGTATTAATGACCATTTTACATAGGTGTTGATACATAATAAGTACTACATCTTTTCATCATAACTAAAATCCATTTTTTTCCAACTTATTACAATATTTTTCATGAATATCTCGGTGACTATCATTCATCATAGAAGTGTCTTTCGAGAGTAATTGCATTGCCTTATACTCCATCTCGTCCTCCTTACATTGAGCTAGTCTTTCCATTGTCGCTACTCTTTTATTCCATGTTTCTTGACAATATTAGAAGGTGATTCAGATGCATTTTCCTTTGCCTTACTCTTTCTTTTTGCTGCTTGTTGTCCCATTGGACGCTCCATTGGTAATGATGAGTTAAACTCATAACTTGAAGGTGTCGCGAGGTTAGACGATGATGAGTGTGCCCCACTAGCAGAATTCTTTGTTCTTTTTGAAGAATTTTCGGTCGATGCTCCCATCCATTTAGGTTCATCCTTTAACAATCGCCACGCGTACTCAAGATTGAATGGTGTACCTTCATCTTGAGCAAAAAATGCATATGCAGCAGGCAAGATATCTTTCTCCAAAGTCCCATTTTTCTTTCCATTAACAACTTGTTTGTAACACCCAATAAATTTTTGAACCAAGCCATTTATTCGATGCCATCGAGATTTTAATTGCCCACGTAGCTTTTCCCGTGATTATGCACGATACTCGTTATAATTGGTAGTGATTCTTAACCAAAAACTCTCAGCTTTTTGATCAACTCCCACAATTGAATCATTTGAAACATTGAGTCATAATTGGATAAGAAGTATATCTTCATCCCTTGAAAATATCTCTCGAGCTTTTTTTTTAACAGGGCGGCTTTCTTCTTTTTCAATACTGACTTGAGTTGAAAATGGTGGAACTTGACTTTCGGACATAGACACAATCAGTGTTTCCGGTTCATGACGAAAAAATTCCATAGATGGTTGACCATATGGTGGAGTTTGGTGACGGAAAAAATGCGGCGGAGTGTTTCCGGTTGATGACGGAAAAAAAACGGCGGAGTTTGTTGGCATCGATTGGAATTGAGAATTTTGAGGATTAGGATTTTGAAATTTTTTCATGAAATTGAACATAGATTGTTGATAATTAAATTGATTAGGATCCATTTGACCTAAATAATATTAATTTTGAAGTAAAAAGGTAAAAATTTGGGTAAAATATATTGTCAAATGAAGGCTAATGAGAATAAATTGTAAGAGAAAAAAAATTAAAAATGAAGAGCAAAGTGATGAAATTGTAAAAAAGAAATTCAAAATTTATGAGCAAATAAAAATATGAGAGAAATTTTGTGTGTAAAATTTTTCAAATAGAGGTATTTATAATAAGTTAAAGTTCTAAAAAAAAATGAAGTTAGCCGTTAAAACAAAAAAATAACTATTTTTTAATTAATATTTTATTTGAAAGATCGTTAAAATACACTTGCACAATATTCCACCGTAGTCAACTCCAACGACACTTGAATTGAAATTGTTGTTTGCCAGGTTAGAGGACAATTTGAAATACTCCCGTTAGAGTTCCTCATATATGTATAAGTTTCTTCCCAGCAACAGCTATAATTCCCAGCACGTTCTGTTATATGTGTAAGTTTTTTATTGTGATAAGTTTCTTCCCAGCACGTTCTGTTATATGTGTAAGTTTTTTATTGTTTTTTCAATTACACATTTCATGCTTTGAATGGTGGACTGTGTAGATAGATTAGGTCAAACTTTCCTTTCCCTTTTAAAATTTATTTTCTTATTGTACAACATAACAATGAGGGGCACCTCCCTTGGCCCTATATTATTTTTTCTTGTTTTTAGAATTGCTGTAAAGGTATTTTCTTTTAAATCATATTTCTTAGTTCGTTTGAATTTAATTAATCTAGCTACTAAACGATTTAATGTATTGTAATATTTGGTTCCATTTACTAAAAATAATAAAAACATTTAATTTATTTAGATTGGGTTAGAATAATGTGGTTTACTAGATTGTTTTATTAAAAATAGTTTCGTTATTTTTCAATTAATTATTAGGATTAATCCTTCCTCGTAAAGAAAATATATATATAAGAATATAAATTAGTTAGTCATATTAGATTAGTTAAAATTGTAAATATACTTAAATATTTTTCACAATATAATTAATTCAACAGTTCAAATATTTGGCCACATGATGAGGAAGACTATATCAGACTCCCCACACCATATGTCTTACCATACTCGTTATCGATTAAATACTCAAAATAGCTAACCAATCTCAAATCATTCTTTTTCCACTAACATAACAAAATGCAAGATATTTTCGTAAAAAGGAGTGAGGAGAATTTCTTTCAAAATTAACTACGAACTGCGTCTACGATAGACAAGATTCAAGGATAATTCGAAATCAATTCTACACAATCCTATAAAAAGCACCAACCAACACTACAAACTACGAATTGAGACTCTGATTTCTCATAAGAGGATACGTAGGCATACGACTTAAAAACCGTGGCGAGTTCTCTAATTAAAAAAATCAAAACCCTATCCTACCCTTAAACTTAAACCCTAGTATCCTTGTGAACCAGGGTTGATGAAGGGTTTCTAAAATCTTCCCTTCATCTAAAGTGAGTCAAGAACATAGAATCTTTGTATCGATTTAGGGTTATCCCGTTATATTCTCGTTCTTAGGATAAAAATTAATGGTGGCGACTCTCAATTTCAAACCGGTTATTACAGACGCTTGAGAGGTAATTGCCTTGGAGTGCTTAAAATCTTTGCAAGGAACCTTGGAGTGTTTGAAATATTTTCAAGGAAGTAACTTGGAGTACTAGATAGAATCAAAGTTTTGTGTTGCAATAGTTTGAAATTAACGGTGCGCGAAAGCTTTGGAGATAAAGAATGCAAAGGAGAAT